GGGGAGGAGGAGGGGGAGGGGAAGGGAGAGAAGGAGGAAGAAAGAAGAACTAGACAGGACCGTGTGGGAGGAGATAGTGAGGGACACTCCAGAGGGAGGAGTCATGGCCTACAGACCACACAGAGGGCCACCCGCTTCGGGAGAATGAGCAGGGACAAGGATCAGAAAATCCCAAGAGCAACCTAACCAGACTCTCATTTCACAAACGGGGCCTGAGCCTCCCTCCAAGCAGCCAGGTGATGATAAGTACCAGCAGTTACCCTGAACGGGTCCAGTCCCTGCTTACCAGACCAGGGGACCCCGGTAAGCGGGACCGGACTGGGTCCTACGGGATGGAAATCACAGTCTACTCTGTCATTGTCCTTCCGGAAGTCACAATCTTAAACGGCACAGGCCTTCAAGATTATCTCGATGCGCACTCTTTCTTTTGAGGCAACTTGTAAAAGATGAAGGTTATTGCTGGGTTCCGGTGGCAGAAGGAGCTACTCATTAGCGTTGGAGAAAGGAGCCCAGGTAACAGCTAGGGTTGTTGAACCCGTGCACATGTCTAGGGAGGTTAACTCACTCCTGAGCAACTTACACAAACACTGCCGTTATCTTTCCCTTATGGATCCCGCCCTCATCACTATAGGGCTGGTTTTCTCCTTATGTAAAAGCGTGTAGCATGGAAGTTCACTGGGAGTCCTAGAAGGCTTGTGGAGTGAAATGATGACTTTGACCCCATTTTGTTAACAGCTGACCTAAAGCAATCATTCGGCTTGAAAGAAATGGGAAAGCAGGCCCGGAATCCACATTCTACCGCCTAAAGAAATCAAGCAGAGGATGAAACGTTTCAAAGCATTAAAGCTATTTAAAAGCTTTGCCCCCACCGATCCAAAGAAGGAAGTAGCAGAATGCAGGAGTGAATTGAGTAGCGTGACAGCATTTCAGAGCTGGAAGGGGCCTCTGTGAACACTGATAGCTGCCTTCCTCTGTGAAAGATGAGGAAATGGTGGCTCGGGGAGGTGAAATGATTTGCTCGAGGTCATATGGTGTCCAAGGCCATGCCAGGTGGGAGCTGTCCTCCCTTGCCACGTGCTGTTCCACCAATTCTTGATGCAGTCAGTGCCGCAGGGAGGCGTCCATCTTCCTGCCTCCTTTGGAACTTGGTGCCGGGCACAAGGGTGGAGAGGCCATGGGTCCGCGCAGAGGACCTCTTTCCCCAAGGGTGAGGCGCAGCAGAATTCATACGTAGACTTCAGATTTGTAGTTATCCCTGCAGCTGGGGCATCTGGAAATGACTTGGTCAAGTCGGCCAAAAGTAAGGGAGAGAAAATCAATCGTGTGACGGGATCCCCACCCCCACCCCCAGTTGTCATAAAGTAGAGAGCAGATCAGGGGTAAGAACCAGCAGGTTGCATATCGCCCTTTGTAGAATCTCTGCAGGTAAGAATTGCGGTATTTTAGTATCTTCTCTTGCTCAGGTTTAGACAACTAGATTCTTCCCTCTTTCGTATCACTGCAGGCAGATAGACCTATCCCCCAGAAGGAGGCTGAAGGACAAGGCTCTCAGAATTTCTGGGTTCAGGTGACAAGGCACGGTGACAGCTGAAGGGAGCACGCATCTCCCTCTCCTTTCTGTTCTATCTCCTGTCAGCAAAGGGGGCTGAGAAGAGTTGCTGTGTTCCTGAAGCATCCACGGGTCTGAGCTCACGTTTGCAGAGGAGAAAGGCAGCTAGCTCCTTGTCAAGACACCGGCTGCTGCCAGGACTGGCTTTGGAGGCACTGCAGATAGACAATGACAGAAGTTCTGGAAGACAAGGGAGGGGCTGCTGCTGGTGTGGGGTGTTTCTGTGGGGACTGCAGAATGGTGTGGTGCAAGGCCTCAGAAGAGGGCCAGAGTCACTGAGATGGTGAGTCTGAGGGAGGGGACAGAGTCCCCAGCTGCTTTCCTGGAGTGACTCTAGCACAGCCTCTGAGTGTATTAGAGGAAAGGGCTGTGACAGTGATGTGCTTGTGGGGTTTGCAGTGGGTTCTAGAACGTTGGTCCTTGTGAACCTCCAGTATTTGCAGCAGACCCTAATTTAGGAACAGGAGCCAGAGACACAAGTGACATCAGGAGCAAAGCATTCAGACCCCACTGAGCATAAGTAACCATGGTCAAAGGCAGGCTCTGTGGTTGACTAAGCAAACACTCCAAAGATAAGAGTCTGATATCAGTCTCCACCAGGGTCAGAGAGATGGAGGGCAGGAGATAAGGTCAGAACCAGTTTCGCAATCAGTTTTAAAATGAGTTAGATAAACCTGCCATGTGGTAGTTTCTGGAGAATTGCCCTTTCTTCTAGAACCCTGAGTAATTGCTTTCCTTCCTTCTTCCCTCCCTCCCTGCCTTCTTTCCTTGTTCCTCTCTTTCCTTTTGGTGATACTAGAGACTGAACCCAGGATCTTTGCCCAGAAGGCCTTTTTCATTTTTTATTTTGAGGCAGGATTTCACTAAGTCACTAAGTCTCCCATTGGGGGATCAAATTTATGAGCCTTCTGCCTCAGCCTCCCAGAGTGCTGGGATCACAGGTGTGATCCACCGCACCTGCCTTCGCTTCCTTTAATAACAGCCGTTCTAAGCCATCTGGTGCATTTGTGCATGGTTCATGTCCTTCTAACAGGGTCTGCTTTATGTATTTGCTGAAGCGAATGTGTTAGAATCAGAGTGGTCCCCAAGCTGAGAATGCCCGAAGGAGGAACAGGCAGAGAAAGGAGGAGCAATGGCTCCAGAGGGATCCAATCTCCCCCACCATTTCCAGGTGAAATGCCAAACGACAGGGCAGGGAAAGTTCTCCCCCATGGCCAAGACCCCGTTAGAGGCTACCATTAGGGTGCCCCGGGCCTGTGACTCCCGTGTGATTCTGCAGTACAGGAAAAAGGCATGGCAGGAGGTCCCCACAGTGCCCATCCCCTGGGAAAGGCTCAGTCCCTGCTGCCCCAGGGACAGGAATGCAGACTTCTCCTAGTGAGGAAGCAGAGTAGTAGACTTGGAGGCGAGGGCAGCTGTCCCCAGGGCCTCCATCCCCTGCCTTGCTGGCCTGCCCTGGCTGTAGTGAAGGATCTAGGAGAAGCACAGCTCACCCCACTGACAGAACTAGAGGACTCAAGGCCAGGCTGCCCTCATCTGGGCCCTGCTCTGTGGCATCACTGTGACTGATGGGATCTCCCTCTCCCCTGGGGAGCACAGGCCGTTCTCAGGCCCGTGGTCAGCCTACTCCTCCATGTTCTGGCTCCAGGAGCCCCTGGTTTGATTCTTCCCCCTGGAACGCCTGAGCCACTCTCCTTACTTGGATAAACTGGGGCTGAGACTGGTCCCTCCCCGAAACCTCCCCTGGTCTCTCCCTTCCGTTCCACTGTGATCTGCTTGTTCTCAGAGCATGGACACCCAAGGGTATAAGGACAGTTGACAGTTGTCATTTACAACCCTTTCTAAGGAGAATGGCCCCTGGCGTTCACGGGCCACTGTGGAAGGCAGACAAGTCTTTGGGGGGAAGGACAGGAAGTGTGACCTGTTGCTCCTCACCAGGACAGCAGCAAGCTGTGTGTCTTCTGTGGGAAGCATATACCCTCACAAGCCAAAATGCGGCCTGTGAGGTAGGGGCTGTCTCTCAGAGGAGCAAAGAGAACTGAGAACATTGAGTTCCTTGCCCAGGGATAGAGGACTCATCGGAGGGGGCCAGGAGTGGGACCCAGATAACCCTGTGACGGGCGAGTGTATCAGGCAGCATTTTCTCCCTGGGACGCCATGCCCAACGCGCATGTTTGGCTCATGTTGTAAGGGGATTCAGTCCGTGGTTGGCTGGCTCCCCAGAGCAACTCATGGCAACAGGGCAAGATGGAGCAAAACTGCTCCCTTCATGGTCGCTGGGAAGCAGAGCAGGGGAAAGTTCCAGGGAAGAAGAAGCAAGGAGCCAGATGTAGACCTAAGATAACCCCTCTGTGACTCATCCAGTTGTACCCAGAAGTGTGCTTTTCTAATCCCCTGGGTTGGGTGCCTCCCAAGCCAATCAAGTTGACAGAATCCAGTTTAACTGTTCCAGGGGTAAGGCTTGGGGAAGAATGGGGAGGAAGATAAAATAGGGACGATGAGGGCAGGCATTTGTTGGGGTGCACATGCCGAAGCAGAAGGCCTAAAGACAGGGGAAGGTAGAAAGGGGTGCTTTGAGAAACAGGTCCAACGGGGCCTTTGGGGAGCCACTTTATGGCCCTCCTGAAAACAGAAGCTGGGATGAGGCTTCGCCCGGAATAGGACAGAGGCTGCTGTGGCCAAGCGGGCCTTGGATTTGCTGACTGAGCTCTGCGGGGAGGGATCGGATCCTGCTTGTCTTGGATCACATACCTGGCGTGGAACCACCTCATGTGGTGCTCATGTGTTTAACATGTTTTCGGCCAGAACAAGAGCAACAGATATCAAAATAATGTCACTCCTCCGGAGAGGCCGTGGCCCAGAATGCATTGAGAAACCCCTCACTGGGGAAGCAGCAGAGGGTCAGTGGGTACTCACCCTTCCCAGGCAGCCTCATCTCGGCATCCCCAGGCTTAATCTGGACTCTTCCTTCCCAGGCTGCGGGGCTCCTATTCTCACCTGCACTACGGCTACCTCCCCGACGCCCTGGTGGACCTCACAGGAGGAGTGGTCACCATTGCCGACCTGCACTCCTCCCCCTCCAGCCTGCTGCTGATGGTGAAGACGGCAGCCTCGGCCGGCTCCCTGATGGCTTGTGCCACCCCACCAGGGGTGAGTGGACCAGGCGCCCTCCGCACTGTGTGAGGCTTTGCTCAGCCCACAGAGGCCGCCCAAGGCACACAGCCAAGGAGAGAAATGCAAGGAGCTCCCCTGGAGCACCCCTGGTGGGCTTTCCCAAGGTCGCTTCATGGAACTCTGCAACAGCCCTCCCTCTGAGATGGGGAGTGGAGAATTTACTTCCCAGAGGAAGGGCCGGGGCCAGAGAGGCTCAGTAATGTCTCCCCGCCACACAGCCAAAGAGTACTGAGCAGGGTTTGAATCTGCCAACTCCAAAGCCTTTATTTTCTCCTTTTCCATGACTTGGAGCCTCCAGGCCCACTGTTACCTAGGGGGTAATTAAGGGCTGCAGGAGGTGGCAGTGGCGTCTTCTGCTGGCAGGGGCTTCTTTGCATTTTGCCCTCATTCCCCAGGGGCCCCCAGTACCCGCTGACCCAAGGGCCACTTGTCTCCTTTTGGAAAGCTTGCACAACCCTCCAAATCGTGTGAGTCCAATCTGAGACATGTGGCTCCGTATCCCCAGAAATTTCCTGAACTCTAAACGTGTGGCACCTCCCTAATCTGAAACGCCACCAGAATGCACTGGCGCACTTTAGAGCCCCAGTCTTCAGGGCGGGGGCTCTTGGGTATCCCTGAATATCCTGCAAACCACCTGGAAGACAGGTTGTGTGCTATGCCTGGCTAAGGATTAGTGGCTGGCGGAGCGAGCAGCACAGGTCCTCAGGAGCTGGTGGGCTCCATCAGTCGTGTGGTGGCCCTCTGGGCAGGAAATACCCAGAGCCTCACCCACCAGGTGGCCGCCTACCTCTGTTTTTCTAGAAGTGAGTTCAAATGCATATGCCCTCCCCAGAGGACTGGGGGCCCGCTGGATCAGCTGCTTTCTGAGCTGGGTTTCTGCATTTTACCAGAGAGTCTCCAAGTGCGTGCTGAGTGCTGTCTGCTTTTCTCCTTTGCAGCCAGCAGACAGGCCCAGGGTGATGGGGAACGGGCTGGTGAGCCAGCACGCCTATACGGTGACAGGAGCTGAGAAGGTGAGTTGGGCTGCTGGCCTGGCGTGTCTCCCCTGGGTTCTGCCTGGTGTTCCTGCTGCTCTACACAGGAGCCAGAGTCACCTTCCTCTACGAGCCCAACAAAACTGACCCTAGCGATCACCACCTGGTCCCCACTGTGGCATTCTCCAAGGGCGGTCTCAGTTGCACCAGTTCCTCCACACGTTTTTGGATGAACTTCCTCCCTGGGGACCCTCTAGAGTTCTTCCTCTCCTTGAAGTGATCTCAGATGTCAGTGTCCAGCTAGATGGCAGGCTTCACCCCAAAAGGAGGTGGAATGAACCACCCAGCTGACTCTGGGAAGAGGTTTTACCCTGGAACAGGTTTCGTTTGTGACATACAAGCTAATCTGACAGAAAAGAAACAGTCCCATGCGTAGGCTCTTATGACAGAGTTCATTTCCTTCTCAGGTAAGCAGGTGACCCAAGGCGCTTCTACCTGTGAGCCCAAGACAGCTGCTCCAGGTCCTCTCATGCCCTGGCCACAGGTCACTTGTGTGTCCATAGAGGAGCAGAGTTAGAAAAGGCAGTCACCACACTTCCCCACATTGTGGGCACACTGAGGCCCAAGGGGGCTGAGACTGGCACTATCTAGCTGGCTGCCATGTGGGCAGATGAAACTTCCTTCCATGGAAGAGGAGGAGGAGACAATAATCTTTCCTCCAATGCAAGAACGGGCTGTGGGTACTCACTATGCAGTACGATATGGCTAGAAAACATTACCGGGGCACAGCCTCCTCTGCTCCTAAGTGAAGAAAATGAGGCCTACTGGGAGAAATGTCTTTTGCAAGGTCACAAAGACAGCTTCCTGTAAAATGGCCACCTGGGTACCCTGCCTCCCGAATTCGCATCCATGATGATCACACAGCTGTGCAGAAACACTTCCTGGCCTTGTGGGAGTCTCCTGCCAGTGTCGCTGTCTTGGTGTTCCCCACAACTGCTGAGGTCAAGTAATGTCTTCTAAGTGCTGAGACAGAGTTCCAAACTCCAGGGTGAACTTCTCACCCTGTGGACCTGGAATGTAGAATGTCAGCTGCTGCCTCGAACTTGCCCTGCCCTCTCTGTCAATCCACCTCTTCTGTCCATTGACCTGAGGCCAGCTGTCCTATTATTTCATGTTTTGGTGAGTGTCAACAGGGACAGTGTCTCCTGTCTCCGCCTGCCCCCCTAAAGCAAATTGGCAACAAAATATTTCCTCTGCAATAAATGCTTATGGGATCAATGGGTGAGTCAGTCAATGGATTTGCCCTTGGCCCATGAAGATGATATTGCTGATTTCCATCGTAGAACACATGTGAGGAGCCTAGGAGACACTTCCCATGAGCAAAGAAGAGCCTGGCCGCAGAGTTCCTGATGGCAGTGACTCTAGGATGGTCCACATCTTCTCAGCTGTGCTCCAGCTCTTCTGGTCCGCCTCCCAGACCCTCCCCTGAGTCTTCAGTGCGGACAAAGCCCTTATGGTACCTGTGGACGAGTGGTCACAGACAGGCTTTATCTCACCAGCCAGCTTTGATCCCTGGCTGCACTGTCTGGACTCCTGTATCAACAGGATGTTGGCACTGCTTTCAGATCTGGGGGAAGAGCTGTGTTTGATTTGTGAGACCTATGCTGACCTGGGATGGGGAGAGTGGTCTGAACAGAGCACCTTACCTAGGCTGACAGGTGATCAAGACCATGTCACCTGTAGGGGCCTTCTGTCCCCACCATTATGAGCAGCTGACCGTTCACAGAATGTGCTCTCAGGAGTGCTAAACTGGGTGAGCCTCTGGGTAAATGGGCTTCCACATTCTTTTTGGAAATACAACTCCTCACTTCCCCCTCCTGGAGACTCATGGTGTATGCGGGTAGGTAAAGGCTCTGAGGAGGTCTGCATTTACAAATACTGCTTGGTTTTAATCTACCATTTGCCAAGAAACCATGTTTTTCTAGAAGGAAGTGCGAACGGCCCACGGAGCTAGTGCTCAGGGGTGTACAGCTGAGGGAGCGTCATTCCAGGTTGAGCCACCAGGGCCACCTCCTGCCCAGTGGCACCCTTTCTGAGAGCCAGACTGGTGAAGATCCTGGCCTCAAATGTGACCCTGGCCCAGGCCCTTGTGATCACTGGCACGGCATGGCACTGCCATAACAGTCACAGTTATACCAGGGCCCGGGAACTTGATCTGGCCGAAGACGTCTCCTCCAGAGAGAGGGGGCTGAGCCACGAGTGCTAAAATGAAACCAGCCCATAAATGAGGGTGCTCTTTAATCTGCTCATCCTTCCTCCAGGCAGGACACAGACAGGAAGATAAATGAAATTGGCGTTTTTTATTAGGCACCTAGCTCCGGCAGTGACTCCCCTGGGCAAGGGGTTGAGTGTTTATCTGCATGCCTCATTTAGCTCTGCTCTTAGCCCCTTTGAATCCCTGGCCGCTTTGCCTTCCTTTGCCCAACTGGGCCTCTGACTATCCCTTGGGCCCTGACGGTGGCTCATTAAGCTCTGTGGGCCACCGGACAGCCATTTCTCATGTCCCGGCTCACTCGGTGGGCTCCCCCAGGGGCTGACAGCCGTGATAAACTGTGCCCAAGGCCTGGGGTGCGGCAGAGGGCCAGAGAGCTGGAAGCCTGAGCACCCTCCGTATTTCTGGGCCCTCAGATGACGGTGTTGCTCCTGCAGGGCAATGCTCTGCTGGTCACCGCACAGCCCTCAGCCAAGGGCTCAAGTATTATGTCTGAGGCCAAGGCCACAGCCGCACCCAGGAAGGAGCCTTTATTCATGTCTATTCGAAAATGCAGAGCCTGAAATTTGCAAAGCAGCAATGGCTCGGGTCAGAATCCTGCTTCTACCACTTACTCTGAGGTCTTGGGAAAGCTGCCTGAGCTCTCTGATGCTCGGTTTCCTCCTGTGCAAGGCAAGGCCAGGACAAACACATTTCCCGGAGAACTGCGGGCGGAGGGCAAGCTCGCTTGTGCCTGGCTCTGAGCTCTGCCTCCTCGTGGGCTCTTCCCTTCCCCACCCCTCCATCTCCTCACACTGCATCAGTGCAGATCAATAGCCCAGCTACAACTCAATCACAGTTTAGTTCCCCTCTCCAGACGGAGGGCTCTGTGCCTCCGGAAGTGGAGGTGCGAGGGTTCGCGATTGTTTGTTGTAACTTTCCCACAGTGCTGCCCTCCGGCTTCAGGGGAGTGGAGGACCAGCGGGGCCAACTTCCGTATCTTCAAGGCTTCACTGAGTGGTGACGGGAGCAGGAAGGCGGAAAAGAGGGAGGGAGCGGGAGTCGAGGCCATTGCAGGTCATCTGCTCTTTCGCAGAGGTGTCTGCACAGCTGCAGGGGGGAGGTGGGCTTGCCTTGGCTACCTCAGCACTCAGGCTGCCCCGTCCTGCCCACATCCGCCTCCTCAGCCAGCTTCTGGCAGGGAAGCAGGCTCTGTCCGTGAGATAGAGATGCTGTCTGTGGCAGGGCTTGGACCTGGGGACCCATAAAGCTCTGTCCTCTGCAAGACGAAGCCGCAGCCCCGCTGTTTATCTGCTCTTAAATCTGAGCTTGCCCAGATTCTCCCGTGGAGCCGCACAGTCTGAACTTGCTCCTCCTGCAAGGGGCTGAGCAAAAGAAAGGGCCATTTCTTCCTCGATCTCATTCCAAGTCCAGGCAGGCTGCAAGAGAGTCATTGATTTTTTTTTTTTAATCTTTTCAATTTTTTTTTTTTTTTGGCTGCAGCCAAATGAGGTCAGAAGTTAAATTAGTCCTCGGAGGGAGAGAGCAGCGGCATTCATATTCCCTCTTGCTGCTGACTTGAGCCAGAGAGCCCTGACGGTTTCCTTTTCCGATCTTCATTGCACATTCAGTCCAGGACAGGCTGGG